TTAGGATTTAGGGAATTAGGGTTTAGAGTTTCGGGGTTTGTGGGTTTGGGGGTTTAGGGTTTTGGTCATCGCCAGCCTCATCTGTGGATCTAAGTACCCACTGGAGAGGCACAAGACTACATCTGTGCACCTCGGAGCCAGTGGGCTGCGCGATGCGGCCATAGGCTGCCGGATACGGGGCTAATATAGCGGCCTTAATAATCAGAATAGGGTTTTTTGGGGGGCCCATTATACTATAATTATAACAAGGAACCCCCAAAACAGTATTGGTACTTATGAGGCCCCTACAATAAGCATGTTGGGTTTCGGTTTCGACTCAGGGGTTATGAGTCAAAGACCAAACAGGCCAAAGACATGGTTTAGGGTTTAGAGTTTAGGGTTGTACCCGAAACCAGAAACCTGAGCTGCAAACCCTCCAAACCAACAACCCCTTGTCCCGGAACCCCTGCATCCCACAGTACCCCAGGGGCCTAAGTCCTTAATAGAATCCCTTCGACCCAGACTTAGCAAGATTATTCTGTAGGGCTCCTTGTGATAATCACAGGACCCCAATCCAGCTACTAAGGCCCCTGCAGCCGTTCCAAGAAGCCGATGCCAAAGCCCAAACGCCCGCCCTAAGAGAACCTAAACCGCGACCCTTGGCCCTAACCCCTAATATAGGGGCCTTAATAATTAGAATGGGGTTTTGGGCGCTTAAACTATAATTAAAATAAGGAACCCCCCAAATAGGTAATGATTTAGGCCTCTACTTTAAACACTCCTGAGACCCAATCCGAGAAAACAAAAAAGCAAGTAGCAAAACCTGACCTTAGGATCTTGAAGCCGAAACTCTAAGGACTCTCACGCCACAAGGACACGAAAGCAAGACAAGCGATGGACCAGGGAAAAAAGTGGATCGGTTTCATGCTAGTTAAGGCTATAAAGGGCTTCGGACTCGGCCGGGTGGCTATAACTCAACCCTAAAACCCTAAACCCTAAATCCTAAACCCTAAACCCAAAAACCCTAAAACCCTAAACAAAACAATTACTGGTGGATCTGTGCTGTAGGATCTAGGGTCCCGCGGCGTCTAGTACAGGGGCCTAAATAATTCGCTATACTATCTTGGGGGTTCCTTATTTCAATTATAGTAGAATGGCCCCAAAACCCTATTCCAGGCCCCTAAACCGGAAACCCTTATAGTAGACCCTGGTAGAACCCTTGAAGGAACCTGTTGAAAGGGACCCGCCAAACCCTATTCTAACTATTAAGGCCCCGACTTTAGAACCTGATTATAGATCCCTTATAGAACCCTTCAAGGATCCCTTTAAAGGAACCCTATTCTAACCTATTAAGGCCCCTACAGTACGCTTTGAGGTGTCTTCAGCTCAACCTTTGTCGGTCTAGAGTTCGGGCCCCCCGCTGGGGTTTAGGTTTAGGGTTTAGGGTTTAGGGATTAGGGTTTAGGGTTTGGGGTTTAGGGCTTGGGGTTTGGGGTTTAAGGTTTTAGGGTTTGGGGTTTAGGGCTTTAGGGTTTTAGGGTTTGGGGTTTAAGGTTTTAGGGCAAAATCGTCTTATAAGGACCCTAAGCTCTAGAGTCCGAAGGGCTCTTGATGTTGGCCTCGGCAGGTCTTTTCAGCGGAGTCTTTGCCTCCACGCTCAACCAATGAAGCAGGGCTGAGGGTTTCGAGTCTTGGGTTTTGGCTCTAGGGTTTAGGGCTTAGGGTTTAGGGCTTTGGGGCTCAGAAGGCTTTGTTTCTGGCTTCAAGACCTTGTTTTAACAGTTTAAGGGCTGCGGTTTTTTAGGGTTTAGGCTTCAGACTGAAGGCGGCACAGCTTGTTGGGACGATGGGAGTTTGGATGGCATCGAACCCAGAGACTCCAATACCCCTTAAATAAGGCATATACCTTAAATTATAGTAGGATCCCTAATATGATTTAAGGTATATTCCCTAATTAAGGGGTATTAATTAAGGAATATACCTTAAATCAGATTAGGGATCCTACTATAATTTAAGGTGTATTCCTTAACTAAGGGGTATTGGAGTCTCTGGGAAGCATCCTACAGGGGCCTTCGTTCTTGCAAAAAGGCTCTTTGACAAGAGGTTCCCTTCAAGGTGGGATCCTAATATGATTTAAGGTATAT